TTTTAAAGAAGAGATTGGATAACCATTTTGTCTGAAGTGGTGTAGGGTTTCCTGCCTAAGCAGGGGGTTGGACTAGAAGACCTCCAAGGTCCCTTCCAACACTCTACTCTACTCTACTCTCCTCCCTTCCCTTTCCCATCTATTTCTCTTCTCTTCCCTTCTCTTCTTCTCTCCTCCCTTCCCTTCCCTTTCCCATCTATTTATTTCTCTTCTCTTCTCCCTTCCCCATCTATTTCCTTCTCTTCTCTTCTCTCCTCTCCTCCCTTCCCTTTCCCATCTATTTATTTCTCTTCTCTTCTCTTCTCTTCTCTCTTCTTCTCTTCTATTCAATTGAAGAACCTAGCAGTTCTTTAACAAACACTCATGTCCTTCTCCCACAGAACCTAAACATACTCCGTAAAGCACATTGTGAGAAGCAGCCAGGTGTACAGGTGGGAGAGCCACAGGGCAGGTGAGGCATTCAACTTCCTTGCTCGCTGAGGCACGACTCCAGAAGTGTGAGAAAAATGCTGGGTGGGCGGGTAGAGTGCCAATCCCATCGAGTCGCGAGCCAAGTCATCCCCGGGTCTCCAAAACAGAAAACAGCCAGGTATAGTCCTTGACTTACGGCCAACCAAGGGACCCCTAAATTTACATGTCGCTAAGCAAGGTGTCTATTAAGTTTTGTCCCATGTTATGGCTTTTCTTACCACGTTTGTTAAGTTGAATCGTGGTGGACGATTCAGTTAGTGACGCGGTTCTTAAGTGAATCGGGCTTCCTCATTGACTTTCCATGTCAGAAGGTTGCAAAAGGGGGAATCCATGACTTTGGGACATGGGAACCGTCATAAATATGAGTCAGTTGCCAAGGGCCTGAATTTTGATCATGTGACCATGGGGATGCTACAATGGTCGTAAGTGTGAAAAACGGTCATAAGTCACTTTTTTCCGTGCCATCGTGACTTTGAATGGTCGGTAAATGAACCGTTGTAGGTCCGAGGACTAGCTGTAGTCACTTCTACTACACATGGCTGGTGCAAATACTCTGTTCTTATAGCAACAGCTGAAGGATTTACCAACCGGATGATCATACACAAAGACCAACCGAGTTCAAGGTAGGTAACGTGGGAGATAACAGAGATGGAAGGGACTTTCTAGTCCCTTCTGGTCTTCTAATCCAACCCCCTGCTTGACCAGAAATCCTAAACCCAGTGGTGGGTTCCTCCCGGTTCAGCCGAGCCGGTAGCGGTGACGATATGATGTCACCAAACTGGTTCTCTTTGTTTGGGAGCCCCCCCGCCCCCCGCATTATTCTTACCTTTTATTTGGCCCCGCCCCCAATCTATTGCTGCCTCCCGAGTCTCAGCTGATTGGCTAGAAGGAAAAAAACTGTTTAAACTCTTGCCGTGGGGCTTCAAAGGGCCGCCCTACAGCTGATCAGTGTTAAAAGGCAGTGTGGTGGTAGACCAGGGCCTCCAAAAACAAACGAGTAGACTGGGGCCTCCAAAAATAAATGAGTAGACCAGTACAGCTCTGCAAGCAGTTAAAAACCTGGTAGACCAGTACCTCTGCTAAATCCTAAAGAATTGTCACATGACCATCAAGCCACGCCCACAAAATAAGCCACGCCCACAGAACCGATAGTAAAAAAATTTAGACCCACCCCTGCCTAAACCATTTCAGACAAAGCGTTGTCCAGTCTCTTCTTAAAAACCTCCAGTGTTGAAGCATTCACAACTTCTGGAGGCAAGTTGTTCCACTGATGAATTGTTCTCATTGTCAGGGAATTCCTCCTTAGTTCTAGGTTGGTTCTCGATTCGTTTCCATCCATTGCCCTCAAGTGCTTTGGAGAACAGAACAGAATAACAGACTTGGAAGGGACCTTGGAGGTCTTCTAGTCCACCCCCTGCTCAAGCAGGAAACCATACACCACTTCAGACAAAGGGTTATCCAACATCGTCTTAAAAACTTCCAGTGTTGGAGCATTCACAACTTCTGCAGGCAAATTGTTCCACGGATTAATTGTTCTCACTGTCAGGAAATTTCTCCTTAGCTCTAAGTTGCTTCTCTCCTTGATTAGTTTCCATCCATTGTTTCTTGCCTTGCCTTCAGGGGCTTTGGAGAATAGCTTGACTCCCTCTTCTTTGGGGCAGCCCCTGAGAGATTGGAAGACTGCTCTCATGTCTCCCTTGGTCCTTCTCTTCACTAGACCAGCCAGGCCCAGTTCCTGCAACCGTTCTTCATATGTTTTAGCCTCCAGTCTCGTCATCATCTTTGTTGCTCTTCTCTGCACTCTTTCTAGAGTCTCAACATCTGTTTTTAGATCCTGGTGACCAAAACTGGATGCAAAAGACCCTCCTATCTGGACCTCAACCAGATCTGACAGGTGCCAAACTCCTGGACTTTTAAGCAACCTGGTGCAAGCTGAAAAATGAAGTTCCCTCCTGTTGGAGGCTGCCCAGATTACGGAAGATCATTTTAAATCCGTGCCAGGGTATGTCAACTCTCCAAGGAACTTCATTCTCCTTCTGGGCCAAGAATTGATCTGGCTGCCTATAATTGAGAGGCTAGTTTGGAAGAAAGAAAAAACACAGACACACAAAAAAAAACCAAAAAGAAGATTTCCAAGCTTAGGACCTCGGCCCACAATTATATACTCTGCTGAATATTTAGGCAGCCTGTGGGATTGTGGGTTTACCACACCATAAAAGTGTCACTGAGCACTGGGTCTGTTTTGTCTCTCCTCGCTTTGGCGTTAATTGTAGGGTGTGTCCTGCTTTTGTCTCCCCCAGCCGTGCAAAATCCCCTCCTCCTTCGCGTCGAACCTCCTGCTGACGGCCCAGATCCGATGTCTACTCGTTTCTTGCAAGGAAACAGACAAACCAATGCCACCTGCCAAGCCGTTTCGGCGCCATCTGCAGAGTCACAATGAGCCACCCTAAAGCATTACGTGGGCGCTAAGCTAAAAAACCCTGTTCAGATAGCAATAAGAGGCAAATATTTGTCGCCCGGGGCTGAATTGTGGGGTCCTTGGGGTTCTCTGAGCTTGGTGGCTTTCTTGCAAGACATTTCACGACCCAACTAGGGAACGTCATCAGTGTTAGAAGGGAGTGGGGTTTGCAGAGGAGAAGAAGAGGAAGGTGGGAAGAAGGAGTACTGTGGGGTCCTTGGGGCTCTCTGAGCTTGATGCTTCTCTTCCAGACGTTTCATGACCCAACTAGGGAATGTTATCAGTGCTAGAAGGTTGTGGGGTTTGTTTCTCTGTTTATATAGGATGGTTTGCCCTGTCTGTGTTGGTGGGAGTATTCTAGGTGGTTCCTTGACAGAGCTGTTCTTGAACTGTTTGTTTGGTTGTCTGAGTTGGTCGTTTCTTGATTTGGGATATTGTTTACTTCTCGACTGTTGATGTAGTGTTAGTCTCGGTGTTAACCTCTGCTGACATTTGGTATTGATTGCTGGGGAGGAAGGGTTTATGCCTTTTCGTTTCCTTTTTGGCTAGGCAAGCCACTAGTCACAGTGATGACTAACCTTTTTGCCATTACATGCCAAAAGTGGGGGGCAGCGGGGCAGGTCGCGTGCATGTATGCCCACACACATTCAATGCGCCCCACATGTGCGTGCACCCCCACATTCCCCCCGCTTTTGGCACGCGAGGGCCCGGTAGGCCCGTTTTTTGCCCTCCCCAGGCTCCAGAGCCTTTCTAGGAGCCTGGGGAGGGCGAAAATGGCCTTCCCCACTCCCCGGAGGCCCTCTGCAGGCGGGAAACAGCTTGTTTCCCAACTTCCGGTGGGCCCAGAAGGCCTAAAAATCAGCTGGCCGGCGCACGCATGCGCACCAGAGATGAGCTAGGGCAACGCTCGCATGCCCACCGATATGGCTCTGTGTGCCACCTGCGGCATGTGTGCCATAGTTTTGCCATCACAGCACTAGTGTACAAAAAGCAAGCAAGCCCTACTCCCTACTAGCACTGATGATGTTACCTAGTTTGGTAATGAAATGTCTGCGAGAAAACAGCTAAGCTCAGAGAGCACCAAGGACCCTGGTTCAGACACCCAGCCAGTCACTACTTCCTCCCTGTTGTTGTCTCAACTGCACAACAGAGAATATCAGACGTTTCCTAAGCTGGGTCAGAGTCTCACACACCACGGCAAACCTTTACACTGTCTTAGCAACTCCTGAATTTGTCTGAAACAAAATACACGCTTTGGTCTTAACAGTCGAACGCTTACAAGCAAAATCTGGGAGGTTCCCATCCATCACGCAAAGTGTTGTGACCCAGGCCCAAGTCGTTAGTATTAAATACAAACAGTTTGAAAACAAACAGACTTTATTCGAACAGCTGAGAATGAACTCACTCTCAGCGTAGCCCAAACTTAAATTAAAGCAAATTCTTCAAAACATCATTCCTCAGTTTATCACCGACCTTGGTATAATTAGGCAAACCGCCAAAGGCTTCTCTTGGCAAAAGTTCAGAAGCAGAAGACGCCGACAAGAAATAACTACAGCCAAACACGAAGCAAATCTCTCAACGGTTGTTTTCTGGCAAAGAGGCCAAGAGCCGTTGCTGGTCTTTTAAGCCTTATGGGAGGGGCCAATCATCTCCTGGCCTTACTCCCAAGTCGTCCCTTTTGCTTTAGCTGCTCTTGCCTTCTGGCAGCTCTTCTCATGTGTGCACTAAGAACAGGCTCCTCCTTTCCTCTGCCTCTCTGCTGTCAGCCTCTGGAGGCTCCGGAGTCCGCACATCACTCCCCGATGGCCCTGGCCCCATCTCTGCCTCCGACGCAGAGCCCTCATCCGGGCCTTCCCCAGCCTCCAGGACTGGTCCATATTCTTCCTCAGCCTCATCGCTGCCCGACTCCGCTGCCAGCTCCGCAGGCGGCTGACGAACCACAACACTAAGCACCTTCAATGTCGTGCTGGCCAGCAATGGGTGTCACCCCATCAAGCTCCACAGCTGGAGCAACCAACACATTCATTCACAATGGGGCGTCTTGCAAAGAAAAAGAAAGCCAAAAGCTTACCTTTCTTGGCCGTTTCCATCTCCTCCTCGGTCCAGCGAGAACTTTCGTTCATCTCCAGAGAAGCTGGTGGAAAAGAAAAGAAGAGATTACAAGAAGAAAAACAAAATTCTTGGGATGTGTGTGCGGATGTGTGTGTTTATGTGTGTGTTTGTGTAAAACTTAGTGACATGCCGTTTGCAATGACCTTCCTATCGAACCTGACTTTCTTCAGCTTAGGCACAAAAGTCAGCTAGCTGACTTTGGGCCGATCACCAGGAGATGGTGAGTTCTAGTACCTGCCTTAGGATTGAAAACCAGCTGGGTGACTTTGGGCAAAATCACCAAGAGACAGAGAGTTCTAGTCCCGCCTTAGAAATTTTTGGAGACAGTCCAAAAAAGAGCCACTCTGGTGTAATGGTTAAGGTGCTGGCCTAGAAACTAGGAAACTAGGAATTCTAGTCCTGCCTTAGCCAGGAAAACCAGGTAGATGACTTTGGGCCAATCACCAGGAAACAGAGAGTTCTAGTTCCTGCTTAGGTTTGAAAGCCGGCTGGGTGATTTTGGGCCAATCACCAGGAGACGTGAGTTCTAGTTCTGCCTTAGTCATATAAACCAGCTGGGTGACTTTAGGCCACCCAACTGGTTTTATATCTCTCTCAGCCCAGCCCACCTCACAGGGTTGTTTTTGTTGGGGGGAAAAAAAACAGAACGAGGAAGGGGCATTAGGTATGTTCTCCACCTTGAGTTATTTATAAAAAACAATAAAAGCAGGAATAAAATAAAGCAAAAATAAAAAGAGGAAAAGCTACTATTGTGAATCGTCTTTATCTTGACGATTCTGGTTTTCGGATCTAGAATCAAACCACAAGAGTAAAACAAAAATGCAGCTCAAGTCAGCCCCGAGGGCTAAATCCAGCTCTCCACCAGTTCATCAACTGAAGCTCTACCAGTTGAATCATCTACCAGGTCTTCCCATTCAAGCTAAGCCTAACTAAGCCCAGATCCTGGGATCCACCCCGTCAAATTTCCAAAATAAGATTTCTCAGTTCTCCACAGCCCTCAAGTGGCCAAGAGAAGCAACTTCTCCCAAGATCTAAGCAGAAGACTGCTGGTCTGTCGAGAAGGAAGTGGCTTTCCAGAGGATTTTAATCCAAAATTTGTCATCTCCTGTCCTACTTCTTCACTCCGGCTCCGCCCGTGTTTTGGAACAAATCTCTCGGCACGCCCTTCCAGGTTGTCCTAGAAAAACCAGGGCCATTTCTGACTTCCCTACCTATACCGTCTGTCGCTTCCAAAGCAAAAGAGAATTACGTTTGTTTTATTCTTACTTGCCTGTTTGAGAAAGCAGTGCTTTGAATTATGTTTAGTATTATACAGATTTTATATATATTTTGGACTCAATTGTGAGTCGTAAGTCGAGGAGTGAGCTGGTAAGTAGGTAGTAGGTAGGTAGGTAGGTGGGTGGGTGGATGGAGAGAGAGAGAGAGAGAGAGAGATGAGAGAGGATAGAGAGACATATAGGTAGGTAGGTAGGTAGGTAGGTAGGTAGGTAGGTAGGTAGGTCGGTAGGTCGGTATGTAGATGGATAAATAGATGGATGATAGATGAGAGAGAGAGACAGGGAGACACAGAGAGAGAAAGAGAGCGACAGAGAGAGAGATGATAAAGAGACAGAGAGGTAGATAGGTAGGTAGGTTGGCAGGTAGGTAGGTAGATAGGTAGGTAGATGGATAGATAGATGGATGATAGATGATAGAGAGACAGAGAGAGAGACAGAGAGAGATGATAGACAGACAGAGGAAGGTAGGTAGGTAGATGGATAGATAGATGGATGATAGATGATAGAGAGAGACAGTGAGAGAGAGCAACACAGAGAGAGAGATAATAGAGAGACAGGTAGGTAGGTAGGTAGAGAGGTAGGTAGGTAGATGGATGGATAGAAAGATGGCTAGATAGATGATAGAATGACAGAGAGAGAGATGATAGACAGAGAGGTAGGTAGGTAGGTAGGTAGGTAAATAAATAGATGGATGATAGACGAGAGAGAGAGAGAGAGAGAGATATGAGAGGGGGGGGAAGGAGAGAGAATCAACCACCTCACTGTGGTGTACAGGGAGTCCTCGAATTACGACCCAAAATTTCTCTTGCAAAGCCAGACGCTCGTTAGAGGTAGAGCTCTCGCCTCACAATCAGGAGGCTGTGAGTTTGATCCTACGTAGAGGCAGATATTTCCCACTCTGGACACCGATGTGTGTGTGTGTGTGTGTGTGTGTGTGTGTGTGTGTGTGTGTGTGTGCATTCTTTCCCAGCACAGTCATCAACATATTTTAACGTCCCCATAATTTTTTTTTTATTTTTTTTTATTTTTTAATTTTTATATGCCGCCCTTCTCCAGAGACTCAGGGCAGCTTACAATGCGTTAAGCAATAGCCTTCATACTTTTGTATATTTTATACAAAATCAGCTTATTGCCCCCACAAACCGGGTCCTCATTTTACCCACCTTAGAAAGGATGGAAGGCTGAGTCAACCTTGAGCCTGGTGAGAATTGAACTCGCAGTAATTGCAGGCAGCTGGATGTTAAATGCTGCCTTAGTAGGAGGCATTAGCCTCCTACGCCACTCAGGCTCCCTTGCGGGGTGGAGTCTGGGCAACTGAATGGGGGCTAGCAGTATGTTTTAATGGCCGGATGCCCTTCCTGTCACCAATGCAGAGTTATATTCGCCAGATACATTTTCAATGTGCCCAGAGAGAGAAATATCTGCCTCTACCTAGGATCGAACTCACAGCCACCTGATTGTGAGGCGAGAGCTCCATCTCTAGGACACTGCACCACTCTTCTTTTCCAGCGCAATGCCATTAAAGAAAAAAAGAAAGAAAGAAATTCACACACCCTACCACATACACATGTCTTGTCCTTTCGGCCCTTGTTTTGAGAGGTTCCCCCCTCCTCACTTCACCAGCGGGAATCCCTTCTCGATCCCTGTAGTAAGTAAGTAGTAAACTTTTACTGAATCCGTTCATCCATGCTACGGAGACCTACCTAGCTCAGAATTCTGCTGGGGCACAGCCACCTCCTCGTGGTTGGCCTCGTTGGCCATGGATCGAGTGATGCGTCCTTTCCTCCAGCCCTGGCTATTGGCCGTCTTGCGCCCTTTGGAGGTGACGGCTTCCTTCTCGTCATTGTCCTCGCCGGACGTGTCCTCGTTCTTCTCCCTGATGGAACCAGAGCAAGAGAAAGAGAGAGAGACAATCAGGTTGGGTTTTCTGCAGAAAGGTGGAACATCACTGCAGCCAATTTACATCAGTTTTGATTTTTTTCTAAGTTTTCCAAAAGTGGGAAGGAGGAGAGATCTGGCTGAGGGGGTCAGGTGCAAGCAACCAGAGTCGCCCTTGCAAAGAGCTAAACTCAACTTTATTGATTTCTGCCTATGTTACAAGAATCTCCCCAGATTGCTATCTTCCACCAGGAACGGCCAGATAAGGCTTCGTGGATCTTGGAAGTGCAGCTTATACCTCTTGTGGCTATGCAAGGACTCCAAGCTAGGCCCTTGATCGACTCCTCCTTCCATCCGAACTGGCAGTTTCCCAACAGAGCAACACCGACGCAACCCAGTCAAATGTTCCTTCCAGCCAAGGCTTAAGTCGGCCAACTCTTCCATCAGAGTCTAAAAATGCTTATTTCCCCCTCCTGGTTAACTCAAGGGCATGGCGTTTCCAAGTCAATTTTTTTTTTTTGCAACCTTCGATGACCAACAAGCATTTTGTTACTCTTAGAAGCAGGAAGTTGTCTTTGAATTTCCTTCAGTGTGTTTCAGGAAGACCTCAAGATACATCACCGTTGCAACCACACGGAGCATCATGAGGTATCCTGGGATCAAATTTGTACCGGGGATCAGCAGGTGTGACCCTTTGACAGAATCAAAATCAGACCATTGATTGATGCCAACCGGTTTCCACTGAACATCCAGCCAGATGCTAAAATTGATAACCAGCCCTTGCTTATCAATGGAGACGAAGTGGAGCAAATGGCCAGTTTTAAGTTTCTGAGTGTTATCATAAAAAGAGGACCTGACCTGGGGGGGCTCACATTGCAGACCTGGTCAAAAGGGCCCGGCAGAGATTCTATTACCTGAGACTTCTCAGGAAACAACAACTGAATGGAAAACTGCTGGTGACCTTCTACCGCTGCACCATAGAGAGTATTTTAACTGACTGCACCTGTGTGTGATTTGCCAATTGCACAGTGGCAGATAGGACAGCGCTCCAGAGGGTCAATGTCATTGCCCAGAGGATCATGGGTTGCCCTCACCCCTCTTTGGAAGAGCTTGATAGCCCCCCTGCCTTAAGAAAATTCAAAATGTTCTTAAAGATCCATCTCATCCTGGGTACCCATTTTTTTTTGAACTATTACCATCTGGCAGACGGTACAGGACAATAAAAACATGGACAAATAGGCTGAAAAGCAGCTATTACCCCAGAGCAGTAACTATATTAAATTCTACTATATAGTGCAATATTAATGCAATATCAGGGGTTTTCAATTCAACTGTATAGAATGTGAAGGATGGGTGCTTGTGTTTTATTTTTATATTATCAGCTGCACGAAGGCAACAGAGAAAGACCGAGTTGGGTTTTTGAGCAAAGTTTGGAGAAGAGAAAAACATCACTCGTTTCCCCACTTCCCTTTGTTCTTCTTTCTCTTTCCCGACTTTTGTTTCTATTTGCATTTGGCCCTATTACAAACTTTAATAAAAAAAATATAAACTCTTGCGTCTGCGCACACCTCCCCCTCCCCCCCCAAAGGAAAGCATCGCTCAGTGAGTCACAAAAATCGAGAAACGAATGCAACACTAAGTCTTTTTTTCTTGGAAAGCAAATGCCTTCCCTCCCAGACTTACTTTGTCAGTTCCTCTTTGTCGTTTTCAGATTCTGGCTTCTCCTCTTCCTTCTCTGCATCTTTCTCTTTTTCCTCTTTTTCTTCTTGGTTATTCCGGGGCATCTGTTGCTGCTGCTGTTGCTGCTGCTGTTGCTGCGAGGCAGGGAAGGAGAATCAAAAATAGGGAAATTGAACATCTGGAGGAGACTAAACCATCCGAACTCTCGCTTTCAAACTTAAGGAGACGCCAGACTTGGTCTACGCTTTCTCCTCTCTTCTGTTCCCACACAATGATTTCTGATCGTTCCTCTTTTTCAACAGGTTTATGGGAAAGAAATTACGTACGACACGGTTCTATCGTGACACACGCTCCGACAGGGGTCCAAAGCATGGGAGAATACATCATACAGGCAAACATGACTCTTACAGTTTCAGCCTCCTCATGTGTTGCAAAACAGCCCAGCAAAGAAAAAAATCTTGAATGAAAAATCTGTGAGAAAGTGACCAAATTGCTGTCACCCTGCTACAGCCATCTTATCTATCTATCTATCTATCTATCTATCTATCATCTATCTATCTATCTACAGATATCAGTTTATCTATCTTTATCTATCTATTTATCTATCTATCTACAGATATCAGTTTATCTATCTCTATCTATCTATTTATCTATCTTCTCTTAATCATCTACCTACTTACCTACCTATCTATCTATCGACAGATATCAGTTTATCTATCTCTATCTATCTATCTATCTATCTATCTATCTATCTATCTATCTATCTATAGATATCAGTTTATATCTATCTATCTATCTATCTATCTATCTATCTATCTATCTATCTATCTATCTATCATCTATCTATAGATATCAGTTTATCTCTATCTAGCTAGCTAGCTAGCTAGCTAGCTATCGTCTAGCTATCTAGCGATCCCATCCACTTTTCCATCCCATCCATTCATATCTAGCCACATTCATTCATCCATCCATCCGTACATCCATCATCTGTTCATCCCATTCATCAATCCATATCCATCCATCCATCCGTCCGTCCATCAATCCATATATGTAGCCACATTCATCCCTCAACATCCATCCATCCATTCATCTGTCATCTATCTGTTCATCCCATTCATCCATCCATATCCCCCCACATCCATACATCCATCTGTCAATATCTATCTATCTATCTATCTATCTATCTATCTATCTATCTATCTATCTATCTATCTATCTCTTTATCTATCTATCCATCTTAATTCTGCTTTTATTATTTTATAAGTAACTCAAGGCAGCGAACATACTTCCTCGTCCTATTTTCCCAACAAAGTTGTGGGGGAACACAAGGCTCCACCAAGGACTAAAGCGCTGTTAAATAGCACTTAAGTAGCACTTAGCTACCAACTGCCTGCAATTACTGCGAGTTCAAATCTCACCAGGCTCAAGGTTGACTCAGCCTTCCATCCTTTCGAGGAAGGTAAAATGAGGACCCGGATTGTGGGGGCAATTAGCTGACTTTGTATAAAAAAGAACACCGCTTGGGGGGGCCGAAAGCCCTACTAAGCAAGTATATACAAAAGTATGAAGGCTATTGCTTAACGAACCAATAAACAATAATAATAAACACGCTGGCCCGTTTTCAATCCGGATGACCAAACCGGAATGTCAATGTTGCAAAGAGGCTACAGACGCTTGATAAAAAAAACAGGCGGGGCTTCGGCTAAACCGTTGCCGCCGCCATCTCGACTTCTTTGACTTTCCAATGTGCCACCCCAGGCAGTTTTACCCGTGAGTAAAACCAGGGCCACATCTCCCAGCCCCATCATGGACCTGTTTGCATCGCTTCTGAATCTACTTCGAAAGCGAAACAGTGCTCTGCGCGCGAAACTCGGCTCAGTGGCACTTTTAGTACCCTCGCATAAAAGACGTCAGCCTCCCCCTGGGGCTGTGCAGAGAGACAGGGTGGTGGAGTGGTTAGCGGGCTGGATGAGAAACCATAAGACACATCCTGTAAGTCTGGAGACACTGAACCAGCCCCTCTCTGGGCCCAACTGAATTTGCAGAGTTGTTGTTAGGAGAGGAAAAAAAAAAACTAAGAGGAGGGGAGCATTGCAGACAGGGGTGAAATGCTCCCGGTTCGGACCGGATCGCCCGATCCGGTAGCAATGGTGGCAGGTGGTTCAGAGAACCGGTAGCAAAAATCCCTCCCCCCCCATGCCCAGCTGAGCCATGCAATCAGAGGCTTTTTTTTTTTTTTACTTTTAAAATCATTTTTTCTACCTCTTCTGATGAAAAATGCTTTTAAAAGTAAAAAAAAAGCCTCTGATGATCGTGCGGCTCAGCTGGGATCATCAGAGGCTTTTAAAAGCATTTTTTCTACAACCTCTTCAGCCAAAGAGGTTAGAGAAAAAATGGTTTTAAAAGTAAAAAAAAAAAAAAAGGTTGGCCATGCCCACTCAGTCATATTACCCCCACACACAGACACCAAGCCACGTCCACAGAACCGGTAGTAACAAATTTCACATTTCACCACTGATTGCAGTCCCTGTTCCACAAATAAAGGCTGAGTCACGATCCAGTCAAATACAAATACAAATACAAAAACCAAATACAAATGCAAATCCAAGCTTGCAACCATGCTACCTGTGTCATGCAGATTAACAGAGTTGGAAAGGGACCTTGTAGGTCATCTAGTCCAACCCCGCCCAAGCAGGAAACCCTACACCATTTTTGACAAATCGCAGTCCGGTCTCTTCTTGAAAGCTTCCAGTGATGAAGCTCCCACAACTTCTGAAGGCAAGTCATTCCACTGAATATAGAATAACAGAGTTGGAAGGGACCTTGTAGGTCATCTAGACCAACCCCCCACCCAAGCAGGAGACCGTACACCATTTCTGAGAGATGGCAGTCCAGTCTCTTCTTGAAAGCTTCCAGGGATGAAGTTCCCACAACTTCCGAAGGCAACTTCTGTTCCATCGGTTGATTGTTCTCACTGTCAGGAAATTCCCCCTTATTTCTAGGTTGAATCTCTCCTTGCTCAGTTTCCATGCACGCCGATTTCACCTGCTGTTTGGTGCAGCTAAAGGGCCCGTCCGAATTATTTATCTGCCCTTATAGGACAAAGTTGCCACTATCAATTCAATTTAGACCCAGCCTTTTCCCCCCCCAAGGAATCTGGAACACTCCTATGTTATCCCCATAACACCCCTGCGAGGTAGGCCAGTGAGCCACCACAGCAGAAGGTGAAGCTCTCCCCTGCTCTCCCTAATCCTATTCCAATTCTGTACAGATAGTCCTCGACTTACAACAGTTCATTGAGTGACCGTTCACAGTTACAACGGCACTGAAAGAAGTGAGTTACGACCGTTTTTCACACTTATGACCGTTGCAGAATCCCTATGGTCACATGATCAAAATTTCAGATGCTTGGTTTCTGACTCATATTTATGACGGTTGCAATGTCCCGGGGTCACGTGATCCCCCTTTGTGACCGTCTGGCAAGCAAAGTCCACGGGAAAGCCAGATTCACTTAACAACCATGTTACTCATTTAACAACTTCCAGTGATTCACTTAACAACCGTGGCAAGGAAGGTCGTGAAATGGGGCAAAGCTCACTTAACAAATGCCTCACTTAGCCACAGAAAGTTTGGACTCCATTTGTGGTCGAGGAATCAAACAAGGACCAGTTTTCTGTTTCTCGAATCCCTGAGGACCGGGATTGTCTGTGTTGGGTTTGGCAAGCTGGGAGCAGGCTGTCCCCTAAGCCACCATGACAAATCTCTTCAACTAGCACGAGCCTGGTGAACTTCTGCCTAAATGAGTCAGGCAGCCCACAGATGGCCCTCCTCCAAACCCACACAGGGAAATTTGCAAAAGACAACAAGGATGCTCCAATTAGGATTTCTGCCCCGAGCCAAGGGGGATGGGATGGATGGCCTTCCGGGACCCTTTCCAAGCCGAGACGCCCACCATGGTAGCTGCAATTGGTCCCGTGCAGAAGAAGAAGAAGAGGAGGAGAATCGGCTTCGACCCACCACTGCATTCCTCCTCTGGACCCACGTCCCGGTTTTACTCCTCCCGACTCAAATCCTTCTGCAGGTTGCAAACAATCCTGCCTGCGTAGCCACCCCTCCCTGTTCCTGGGTTGCTGCCGCAGGGCTCCCCCCCCCCCTTCCCTCCCAGGCCAAAAATCCTCCTCCCCAACTTTGAATGCCTGGCAGCCGCTGGCACCGTGCCTCCCTCTCTCCTCCGCTGCTGCGGCGCAGCATAAATTATAAACAACGCCTGACCTTTGCTCTGATTTCTTGCGGCATCCCGTGCGTGGCGCAGCTCTACTTCCCCCGCCCCGGGGCATTCAGCATCCCAGCAGCATTCTTCCCCCCCCCCTCCCCACACACACACACACCATTGTGCAAGCTCACACCAGGGCACCCGCAGGCAACACTCCCCCCCCACCAATCACCAAGGCAACCCCAGCCCAGCGCGATAACTTATCTCCCCCAGAGCACAGGGGCTCCTGTAAACAGTGCGTGGAGCGTGCGGCCAGGGCTGTGCTTCAAAGGCGCTGTGCCTCGGCTGTTTTGTTTCCCCCTTCTTGGGACCTGTTCTTGGCATGGCTCTCCGACACACTTCGAGCGTACAAACAGCACAAGCGCTTCCAAGCTCCCTTGGCTGGCCCAGAGGGATCGGGAAGGGAGGGGAGGGGAGGGGGGTGTATGCCTTTATAGGGCCCCCCCATCCCATCTTCTGCTTAGCTCTGCTTTTGGGGGGGGGGAAACGAAGAACGGGTGAATTGGGGACGAGACGAAGACTTTTCCTGGGGTTCTTTCCCGCGCCTTCGGAGAGATTTCCGTACGTACCCCGTGAAGCTGCCCCCTCTCCATCATGGGGGGGGGGGTAGGGGGTGGTTCAACCAGTCCTTTTCAGAAATAATCCCCTCCCACTTCTCTGGGTCAGGAAAGGACAGGAGAGAGGGGTGTCCCTTGGCCTCCGGTGGAAGATAACAAGTAGGGCGGAGGGAATTTGTTTTTTCTTTTTTGTTTTTTTTCCTTTCCCGGCCAAATGTTTCGTGCGCCTCTCCTTTCGTTCTCGGGAACCCGGCTCACCTCCCAGGCCTGTTCTCCCCGGGACTTCAGCACTACCAGTGTCCCT